GTCTTTGTTCCTGGTTTGTATAGTGGGAATAACAGGAACACTTCATGGAATTAGTAAAGCAGGCTAATGACTCTGCATATTTAAAAAAACAGCAAGGTGGGGGATTCAATTGCATGAAGCCAACATCTTGCCTTCTTCATCCCCTCCTTGATGTATGGCCCTGCAAATAAGAGTAACTCGGTAAAATTGTTAGTCACTTTGGGGAGAGCAGCTTTTCATGATTTGGTGCCCTGTAGGTTAGCTGGATTTCAACTATCTAAATTCTCAGCTCATACAACAGCATTTTTCCCAGTATCCAAGGGAAACGTTGATTAGTGTTCAGTAGTGTTGCATATTGAGTCTTTTTAATTGCATAAGATTTTTTTCTTCTTAAGGAACTCAGTGTAACTTAGAAATGTGCTTTGTTTCTTTCACTCACATCTGTTCACCCATCCTCAAAGAAGCAGCCTCTGAACTATTTTTGGCCCTCCCTTTTAAAACTTTTTTGCCTCTGAAAAGTGCTTACAGCTGAAGGCATAATACCAAAGAAAAAAGACATAATTTTCATCATAAGACAAGAAAAGAGATACTGGGGGTTTTTTTAATAAACATTTTGCCTATTATTATATACAGTATATTTTTTGAGCAAGATGGGTGCACATAATTCTTATTATACATATAGTTCATTTACATACATTACATTTTGTAGAGACTCAAGATTAGTCCTTAACTAGGGTACAATGGTTAAAGAGTTAGACTATAATTATGGAAACCACAGTTCAACTACTTGCTAAGCCAGGAAGTTTACTGTGTATTCCTGAGCTAGGGATGTTATCTCTCCCTCTCCCTCTCCCTCTCCCTCTCCCTCTCCCTCTCCCTCTCCCAGACAGACAGACAGACAGACAGACAGACAGACAGACAGAGTCTCTCTATAACCCTAACCTAGTATACAGGGCTATTGTGAAGATGACACTGGAAAAGTAGGGGATCACACTGACCTATCTGGAAAAAAGGATTACAAACCAAATCAATATCGATTTGTTTGCGTAAAGGAAAAAGCTTCAGAGGGAGGGGAGGAAAATGAAACAAGCGTCATCTGAAAGAATTACGTGTTTGGTTCAATTACACATCCCTTTAGCAAGTGACGAGGGTGATGTGGTTGTACCAAAATATCTTTTGCTGGGGGCTTGAAATGACAAGAGATAACATGGGGGTGCTTAGAAAGTGATTGCAGGTATAAGGGGGCAATAAGAAAGAATGGGCAGAGACAACTGAAGGAGTAGAAGACCTGTGGATGGCTGAAGTTGTATAAAGATTGTGAGAGGAGATTGAGGTGGTAATAAAGTGACAGGGTGAGGATTCCCCCTTTCCTGGAAGTGAATGTTTCACCAAAAAGACATTCATTTTTAAGGATCTACAAGGCTATTTGTCAAGACTGGCTGCATGTAGCCTCAGTCCTTCAGGGTTTTTTTTTTTAATTATTGGATATGGGCTGCAAAAATCCAGAGGACTATTAGCCAACACATAAAGAAAACAATGCATCATGTGTTAAATGACCCTGGTTAAGTGCATTGTCTAAACATTGCTACAGTGGGCAAATAGAGAGACAATCATTTACTGAACCTTAAGAACATGGGGAATTCCCTTACACCAGCTTAAGCTATTTGGCCTCTTTAACCCATTGCTTATTCCGGTTGCACCCCAAGGTCTCAAGCAGTTAATTTTTCCATTGCTTTCTGCCGGATCCTATTTTATTTATTGTACACACCAGACATCTGCACGCTGGGAGAGCCTTACAGATAGATGGGCTGAAATCCTCAGACTTTTCATCAATGTCTATCTTGCCTGGATAATTCTGGAAGTTGAGGTCCATGCATCTTGGAGGACACCCAGGTTAGAGAAATTTGGTGGGACATTCTATATATTCCTAGTCTGATGAGAATCTGCCTTTTTGACTTTCATAATTTTTGATCAAGTCCATAAACGTGTGACAGCATTCTCCTCTTTCATTGGCAGGCTAGTCAAAACACAAAGCCTGCATCCACGGCAGGTGCAATTAAATGGTTAGGCATGTCATAATTTGTACCCCCCCCCCGATGCCTATTTAAATCGATGCTTAAAGTAATTCTGAGCGCTTGCCTGCTGTTGGATGCAATGTTGTCAAATCAATGTTATCTTCTACAGCTGTAAATTGTGCAGAAAAGGCACATAAAGTGGGAAAAGGAATATTTTCCTATCATCTCAGTTCATAAGTGTATTACTTCAACCAATAAAGGTGGTGGCAGGGGGATTGAGGAAAGACCAAAGAGAGTTTTCCCTCATCCAGTGCATAGCTGACTTGTGGAAGTTGCTGACATGAAACATTGGTAGTAAAAGGAATAAGATTATGGATGAATTCAGCAACAGCATGATGGATGCACTGTTGGAAGATCAGAAATACCAGGTTAGGGACAAATCATCCTGGAGAAAATCTATATGGATGTGCTAAAATAACACACAATCAGTCAATTCAAAAAAGGGATAAGACTGCTTTTGTTGGAAGTGTCCATCAATAGTTACTAATGATGAGTGCAATCATTGGACCAGAAGCAACATACTGTGAAAGAGTTTATAGAAATATGAAAGAACTCTTGAGAAGGGACTTGGAAAAGTGATCCCACAGTCCAGAGGTTGAAGCAAGTTTTTTATTTTTATTTATTTATTTTTATTTTGTCAAGCATGTATTAGACAGCAGATACAAATATAAACATGATTATGAATACATGAAATGGATACAAATAAAAGGGGACATTAGGACAGTGTGAGAAAGAAACTCAGAATAACCCCATCTTGGTTACCATCAGTGGAGGCAGAGAGAAACTTAGAAAAGCTTTCAAGATTCTATTTTTTTCCCCCTGCTACGATATAGTAACTTTCCTGGAATCCCTGCAGTGTCGGCTTTATGACCTGGCCTACCTTGAAGGGCTGGTACAATTAATTACAAGGGACATCAGGAAGCAGCATGGAAGGACCTTTTCCTTCAGAACGCTAAAGTACTTTGATCTTATGGAAGAATTCAGCATGCAGTTTATCCTGCTAAAGGACTCAATTTGATCTAGATTAGTTTTTTTTCTCTTCCTTAGCACAGGGGGAAAAAACCCATGCAGTCTGAACATGGGTTGGAAATAAATCATTCTGCTTTCAATTATATTGGAGTGCATTTGAAAAACAATCCTGAAATCTAGAATTATGTATTTCTCCTTTCCTATGTACAATATACCAAAATATACATGTTGCATTCCATTTAGATGCCAAACAAGTGGAAGATGGAACTAGAACTGGAAAAGAAATGAGATGGTGTTGTTAATAGGTGGGCATGGTCCAACAATGTTGTTTAGATGATACCAGTTACATCTTGCCATGTTTAATCTCTCTCTCTCTCCTTTCTGTGGAACTGCAATTAGCTTTCCTATCTGTCAGTGAATCAGTCTATCAACATGTCAAATGTCAGTATATTTATTTGCAAATTGGTGATGATGATTTCAAAGATGCTACACTGAGATGCCCACAAAAATTGCAGACTGCATTGCCCAATTCCTGTTAAAAATCCAGATTTTTGTTTATATGTATATGAGGGCAGGGAAGTTTATTGGCTTCAGAGTATAATAATAAACATGAGCTGCATTTCACTGTAAGAGCATTGAAACTTTTATGGTATTTTAATGCAGTTCAGAAATGTGAGGATTCAGTCTGTGCTGAAATTTGGGCAAGTACGGCGTCTTTGCATTCTTTCACAACAGAGCCCTGAAAATTACTCTGAATCTGTATTTGCCTCTAGAAACCAACAGAAATTCAAACAATCCCAAGGTTCACTGTGTCGGAAAACTGATAATAATTGCTTATATTGTACATTGCAGGGAAAGTTGCAAGCCAGGATCAGAGATTGAGATGTAGAAAAACTCTTCCAGAAAAATCAGATGTGAAAAAGGGACACAAATGAAGTTTTGCCTTGTCTTGTAGACACCACTAAGGGTCTGATTCTTCAGTTCATTCTACACAGGATCTTTAAGTAGCAATGTATTCTTTTTTTGCCATTAAAAAAAAAAAAGCTGCATTCCTAGTTAAATCACTTCTTGGAATACAGCTTTAGTACCCATACTAAAGTTTCAAAGTTTTGAGAGGGGAGGAAGGTAACAATTGGTTCATATGCAGGATGAAAACATTTGCTGTAGGAAAATGATAATATTGAAAAACGAGAGGCATTTATAGCGAAGAGAGATTAGTAATAACAAATCTACAAAGGCATCTTCCCGGAGGCATTATAATCCCTTTTCAAGAGAAGGAAGCGAGGGAAAAAGGACCAAGCAAGCAAGCAAGCATCACACACTTTCTCTAATCAGTTCAAAACAGATTTTCAGCATCAAATGTTTTGTAAAATAAATAGTTTAGTAGGAGCCGAGAAGAAAAGAACAACAGAAAAGTAAAAGGTGACTGAGGCGAGATAAATACTTAACACTTACTGAAAAAAAAAAAGCACAAGAAACATCTTATTAGCAAATGCCTACCAATACTTAATACATTTCAATGCACACAGAGAGATTCCTCTGTGAACTGATGAAATTTCTCTATATGGCTCCCCTATCCCAGTCCCTACTTTTCTTTCAAATCAGGAAACACTGATTTGACAAAGACAAATTCTTTTTGAACCATCATCCTGGGCAGGACACATTCAGCTAACCAGCTTTCTTTCAACTCTGTTCTCAGACCAAAATACCTTGAAGGGGCTTAACCCCATGAAACAAGGATTTTGGACACAGGAGGAAGTCATTGAAAAATCCCCAAAGTGCAATGCCCCCCCTCACCCCCCACAACAAACACCCTCTTTTCCAGTCCGCCCCATTGAAATCTTCCAGTTGCAAAGAGCTAGGTTCGGGAAGCAGACTCCTGCAGTGCTAGAAACCCATTTCCCAAGCTGTTAAAAGGCACCCCAAGACAAAGAGAACACAGCAGCATGCTGACAATTTGGCTGAGAAGCCGCCTACCTGCCAGTGTGCTCCGAATCCCAAGATTTCTTCTGATGTCCGAACGTTGCACTGTTTCTCTGTCAGCGTGGCCCTTATATATGTACAGGGAAGGCACACAGAGAGAGACACACACACCTCCTCAGCCCATTAACATGTGTATCGGTGAGTCCAACCCTCTGAAGAAGCCACCTGACTTATACACTGCCTAACAGCTGGATACCCCTTGGTACCCACCAATGAAACCTTCCCAGAAAGGGTTTGTCACACTTCAAGCAACTGAAACAATGACACATGTGCACACACATGCACACAAAACACACACATCCATCTCATGTCAGCCCTACAGTCATATAGGCAGCCCTAAAGCGAGGCTTCTGCTGCACGCTTTGTTCAAGAGATAACACTCTCACACCTCTGGCTGCAAGGATAATAACAGAGTGGCTCACTCAAGCATCCCTGATGAGGTATTTGGATAGAATTTGATGCTTCCAGACCTCTTGGAAGCTGCCATAGACCAGGCACATGGTTTCTTAAGCTAGGCTGGGGCAGGCAGTTTTTTCAGAGCCTTGCTTAAATCTTTATGGCCAAAGGTTGCATTCAGCAATCAATAAGGTGACTGCGCTTGTGGCCGTGACATGAAAATGGACATGATTAAAAAGGAATAATAAGAAATATTTCCCCCACTTCATCCTCAAAATCTTAAAAGAGTGAAAGTCCCTTCCTATAATTAGCTACATGTTGTTGTTTTTTTAACTGGAGACCCCAAGAACTGAGAGCTGGTATCTTCGGCATCCAAAGGATGTGCTGTAGATGCCCTTCATCCACAGAGGACAACAGAATGGAAAATCTCTGAATACAAAGAAAAAGTCTACTTAACTCACATACTAATAAGTGGTCTCAGGCATATTCTATACCTCAGTTCCAACCACAGACTACAAAAAGAACATTTTCCTGGGTTTTTTTTTTCCTGTTAATGATTTGGTCCATTAACCAACTTCCTTTCCTTTCCTTTCCTTTCCTTTCCTTTCCTTTCCTTTCCTTTTCCTTTCCTTTCCTTTCTTTCCTTTCCTTTTCCTTTCCTTTCCTTTCCTTTCCTTTCCTTTCCTCCAACTTCCTTTCCTTTCCTTTCTTTCCTTTCCTTTTCCTTTCCTTTCCTTTCCTTTCCTTTCCTTTCCTTTCCTTTCCTTTCCTTTCCTTCCTACCCTATCCTACCCTACCCTACCCTACCCTACCCTACCCTACCCTACCCTACCCTAGCTTGTTTCCTGACAACTGCGTGGACAAGTCCCTGCAGTTTTCTTGGCAAGATTTTCAAAAGTAGTTTGCCATTGCCTGCTTCCCAGGGCTGAGAGAGAATGACTGGCCCAAGGTCACTCAACCGCAGGACTAGAAATTTTGTTCTGTTTTACCCTGGTGCTTTAACCACTACTCCAAATTAGCTCACTCTTCTGTTACTAACATATATTAAATCATCATACTTATAATGTGTTCCCCATATTGATCTTACCCTCCCTTCATTTTTTTTCTTCTCCCTTGTGCCAAATTATACAAATATAACTCCCTCCTCCCCCACCCCCTCCAAAGAAGTGAGCAGGCAGAAAATCACAGTTTGATAATATTCTTCTGGTCAAGGGATCTATTTTATTTATTTTTGCACCAGAAGGCCCACTTTGGATGTAACAGTAGCAGAGTGAACCCACAGGTAGGATTGAAACTGAAATGTTCAGACTGGTGGGTTGTCTGCTTTTAGAAAGAGGGACTTTAATTGAGTTTCTTTAAAAAATCAAATTAAAAATCAGCACATCAAGCCAAACAAGAATATAGTATATTTATCTTAGGGACCACATCTTTTTAAAATCCCCAAAAAACCCCCACTGCCGTTTTACTGTTAAATTCTGACAGCTCAATCTGAAGTAGCTGTAGGGGTTACAAAAATAGTCAGGGACTTTTTAGGCTCACTGATGGGAAAGCAGAAGTGCACCATGAAATAAATGGCAGTTTTCTTCCTTCCAGGGGTTCTCAAGTCAGTGCTCTGACTTCCCCAGGCGGAGGAACATGCAAACAATCCCAACAAAAGGTCAGGACCATGGACAGGTAGCTGAGGGCGGGGAGGGGGGTAGATTTTGTTTACTTTAGTTTCTTCAATTTGGTGCCTGCAGGAGTTTTGGACCACTATTCCCATTGATTGTGTCAGTTATCTAAAATATTGGTATGGATCAGTTGGGGAAAGCTAGACGCTTTGCCTTCTGTGAAACATTTATTTATCATATATATTTATTGTATTTAAGAAATACCCATCTCCCTCAGAGAAAAATATACTGGTTGTACTCTGGAAATACTGGACAATTGAAGTAGATATGCAAACCTGTATAGAAGGGGCGGTGATTTATAACCTAAACCCCAATATATAACATAGAATCACAGGGCTGGAATGGACCTTGGAGGTCTTCTGGTCCAACCCCGTGCTCAAGGCAGAAGACTTTATACCATCCTGGTCAAACGATTGTACATACAGTGCAGATCCAATTTTGAAAACCTTGGTAGTACAGGGGTTTAAGGCACCCTGTTATTAAGCTGGTTATTAAGACCAGCTGCCTGCAATTACTGCAGGGTTCGAATCTCGCCAAGGCTCAAGGTTGACTCAGCCTTCCATCCTTTCTAAGGTAGGTAAATTGAGGACCCAGTTTGTGGGGGCAATAAGCTGACTTTGTATAAATATACAAAAAATGATGAAGGCTATTTCTGAGCACATTGTAAGCCGCCCTGAGTCTTCGGAGAAGGGCGAAATATAAATCAAATTAAAAAACAACAACAACAACAAAAAACCCTCCAATGATGGAGCACCCACAACTCTGGGAGGCAAGCTATTTCCTTAGCAATAGCAATAGCACTTAGACTTATATACCACTTCACAGCACTCTCTAAGCGGTTTACAAATACCAGCAGATTGCCCCCAACAATCTGGGTAATTTTACCAACTTCAGAAGGATGGAAGGCTGAGCCAATCTTCAGCTGGTCAAGACTGAACTTCTGGCAGTGGGCAGAGTCAGCCTGCCATTCTTCATTCAAACCACTGAGCCATCATGACTCATTGATTAATTCTTCTTACTATCCAGAAATTTCTAGGTTGGATCTATCTTTAACAAGCTTCCAACCGTTATGTCTTGTCCAACCCTCTGTTGCTTTGAAGAATAAGTCAACCCCCCTAGAATTCTCCTCAATTTCTGGCCAATATTGGGGTGATAAAATTGGGGCAAAAGTTGATCTAAAAATACTCTTCATGGTGGCATGTTTGTGGAATTGGTTTGCAACTAGAGTAGTGCCAAATAATTATCAAGCATTTTAGGAGGTAAATACACTTACACTTTGGCTATTCTAGTGGGACTTTTGAAATGCAACATTTGCAGCTATGAACACGGATTCCAAATGTCATTTCTCCCACACAGAGACAGAAATTGAGCTGACAGGGTATTGCTAGAGCTTCTGCCAAGGTAAGCTCTGAGCCACTACTCTTTTAGAGCTCTTTGTTCCTTAGAATGTCTACAGGTATCTGAACAGAGGTGGACATTGTTTACTTGGACTTTCAAAAAGCTTACAGCAATGGGTTTTTTTTACTAAAACTATAGTGCAAACTTTAATTGAAAAAGTGATAGCAGAGAATAAGAGCCAGTATCAGATAATGATGAAGGTATTACTTTAGAACTGGGAAAACTTAAACTGAAGACCACAGTCAATTGTGCAAACTGATTGATTGACTTCAGACTTGTCATAACACCTTTATACAAATTTGTAGTGCAATGACTTTTAGATTGACATACCCAAGTCTGATTGACAGCCTTCACAAAGAATATTGTAGAACTGGAAAAATATGTAGAAAATGAAACTTTGCAAGAGAGGAGGGGAGGGCCTGTTAGAGATGTAGAAATTCTGATAGGGGGTTCTCTCTTACATCACAAAAACTTGATATAATCAGGAATATATACATATGTATATGTAAATTTGCTTCTGGATAAGGGTTAGATTTTAGATGGGGTGGATGAGTTTTTGATATTCATTTTAATTAACAAAGGAATAAAAAGTATTTGATACAAAGAGATGAAAACAAGAAAAAAAAAACAGAACTATGATTAAGAACTTCTAGTCCAACCCTCTGCTCAAGCAGGAGACCCTATACCCGTGATGGCAAACCCATATCGGTGGGCATGTGAGCTCAGCTCTGGCATGCATGTGGATGCCGGCCAGCTGATTTTCGGGCCTTGTAGGCCCACCGGAAGAAGGGAAACAGGCTGTTTCCTGCCTCAGAAGGGCCTAGGGATGGTGGTTGGGAAGGCCTGTTTTTCTCTCTCCCCAGGCTCCAGAGCCTTTCTAGGAGCTAGGTGGGACCGGAAGTTGGCAAATGGGCCATTTCTGGCCTCTGGAGGGCCTCCGGGTGGGGAGGCCGTTTTCACCGTCCCCAAGCTCCTAGAAAGGGTCTGGAGCCTGGGGGAGAGAGAGAAACAGGCCTACTGGGCCAACTGGGCCATCGTGTGCCAGGAGCGGGGGGGGGAAGCGGAGGGGGGTCCTGCATGCATGCATGGGGCAGGCCACCTAGAATTATGGGTGTGGGCACATGATGGCACCCCCCGCTCCTGGCACGCGATGGCAAAAAGATTAGCTATCACTGCCCTATACCATTTCAGACAAATAGATATCCGGTCTCTTCTTACAAGCCTCCAGTGATGGAGCACCCACAACCCTGAAGGCAAGCCATTCTATTGGTTGATTGTTCTCATTGTCAGGAAATGTCTCCTTAATTCTAGGTTGCTTCTGTCCTTGGTTAGTTTCCATCCATTGTTTCTTGTTTTACCTTCTGGTGCTTTGGAAAATAAGTTGGCTTACTTTTCTTTGTGGCAGCCCCCCAAATATTGGAATACTGCTATCATGTCACCTCTAGCCCTTCTTTTCTCTAGACCAGACATACCAACTCCTACAACTGTTTTAGCCTTCAGCCCACCTGAGTATGATATTATTTTTACCAAAAGCCATTACTGTACTCTTTTTCATAATTTGTCCCCAGTTTTTTTTCTTTTTACAAAATCAGCTATTAGTTAATCTGACCAATAATCCTCTAAAGCCAATTTTAGGAGAGGAAATGAAAGTCATGTCCTAGGCATACATTAAAACTGAAAATTTCAATTTGTTCAATGAGGAAGGGGAGAAGCTTTGTAACTGCAGGACAATTGCAATATTATTAATATAAAAATTAAATAAGGAAGGTGCAGGAGGAAAGCTCTGTTTGACCTTTTCTCCAAAAATATCAGATTAAGTATTCCAGAGAAGCCAAGTAGTTACACCATTTTGGATGGTCCTAATAAAACTC